TGCAAACCAGTGTATGCCACATGACAACGAATGGATCATGGGATTGGGAGATCGGATAACTCCAGCGGCTCCTCCATAAATCAGACCAGCAGTTCCTAGTTGAGAAATCAGCACTTTATCTTCAAGGACTCATTGTGTCTGTATCCAACCAATACTGTGAAGGACAGATACTAACCGCTGATGGCTCCAACTTTGCCTGCAGATAGGAGGGCGTGGGACTGAAAGTCCTGCACATAGTTGTTTTGGTCACCCATCTTTTATTCAAACTGAAAGATGCATGAGTTCAAATGTCATGGAGTGGTAATTTACAATCGAAGCACTCATCGAAGCAGCAATCCCAGTCAGAAAGAATATAGTCACGTGTCCCAGTTGATGTGCCTGGATTATGTAATATTCTCGCCCCTGGGGCCCTGGACGAATTAGGGCATAAACAACAAGGCTAAAATTGGTATAAAAAACAATTTAGTGGTTTACTTATGTTTTGTATTCTTGTTGTAGGGATTGCGACTGGCTTTGTTTAAGTCTGTTGAAGAAAAATGGCGGACGAAGAGGGTGAAGATTCATAGATATATCCCCACATTGCAAATGTCCAGCAGATGATCGCCTGCAAGACAGGCAGCCCCACGATCTTTATTTTCCCCTCAAACTGTTGTTATTCATTCCTACTGACTCGAAGACCAACTCTCCACTTTGACATGAGGTGTAATATCTAGAAGCCACCTATGACTACACCAAAAGGCTTAACCATTAATGTCAAGGCTCGGATCTCTATTTACGCTAGCTTGCAATGTTATTGCATTCTTGTCATACAAAGGTTTAGAAATCTGGCTGACGAAGTGTATGAATCCCGTCCACTGTTGGCCGTACAATCTTCAGGAATATCATACCCCTGGGGGTCTCCCTAATAGTCTAAGTATTAGAGTATATCAAATGGAACTAAAAGCTGATACAAAACGATCTAGTTATAAGTCGGACTTGTCATACTGTCGATTCTTACAAGTAATTGAGGCTATTGCAGAGCGACTCCGCCTGGGATGACAGAATCAATCGAATTAAAACAGGAACGAAGTTATGTACTCTGTGCTGTTGATCGGTATATTTTATGATATATTTTTAGCCGAGTATGAAGAAGTCTACCGCTGTACACAGATAAGATATGAATTCCGCCTCATAACTTTTTCCTACAATTCTTTTTTTTCTCTTTTGAACTAAGCAAAAGCATGAATACCCTAAGACCCCCACTGTATTTGTCAATTTTAGGTAGAATACAAACGGATTCGATGAGGGTCGTAGTTCAGGTATAGACCGATCTCGCGGCTCTGATTGGGCTAGCGTCATCACTAAAAATTTAGTAACCCGTCCACTTCCATGCCGCAGCCGACTTCCCCTCTACCAACTTTTCCACTGTGTGTTTGCAGATATTAAACCTAACACTACTTGATTCAGATTTTGATTCTTGGCTTTCTAACCAGGTGTCTCTGATCATTTGACTTTTCCTTCCACTCAACCCTACTCTCCGAGAAGCGCGCACAAATCCGTTGGCGCGTTTCCCCCAACTTCAACCGCAATCATGGGTTCGTTCCAGACCTTTTATCTTTCCTGATAGAACATGGACCTGTCGGCGAAAATATTCACGGGCGATTGCTGACATGATGGATATTAGCTCCCAAAAACAAAGCCCAGAAGATGTCTATGAGCACCTTCTTGGCCGATGAAAGTGAGTGAGCGGAAAAATTGGATGATTAAAGTGATTACTGACGGACATAGGCCTTGGCTCTTGGGCCGATGAGATGGAGGATATGCCCCTTCCTTGTAAGTTGCAGCCCCACTATTGGAAATTGCGAAATTATACTAACAAAATTTATAGCCAGTATGTAGTGTGCCCGATACCTAACATGCTTATCGTTGATCGAAACCCTTGCTTACACCATGGAACAGCCCAGCCTTTGACATCCACCTTCAGCCGTCGCCCCGCGGGTGATTTGGCGTTCGGCTCCGGCTCCACTGGCGGCTTTGGTATGATTACCCCTCCGCGCTACATACACAGAACGGCCTCTGACAGATTATATGATTAGAGCGCGAGCGTGGTGGATATGCCGTCCGGGAGCCTCTTGATCTCCCCACCCAGCCCCCCTACACTTGCCACGTTGGCAACCTCTCCTTCGAATCAACTGAGGCCGATATCTCCGAGCTTTTCTCTGCATGTGGCGTGACGAGCGTCCGTCTCGTGGAGGACAAGTTGACAAAGGCCCCCAAGGGTTTCGGATATGTCGAGTTTGAGACCGTTGAGGGCCTGCAGAAGGCTCTGGATCTGTCTGGCTCGTCTCTCCAGGGACGTTCTATCCGTACCAGTGTTGCGGAGCCTCGTAAGTACTGAAAGGTTGGTGGGTTTGCAAAGATGTCGACTGACACATTACTTAGCCAAGGAGTCTCGCCTGGAAGGCAAGGATCTTGACTGGTCCCGACGTGGCCCCCTCCCCGAACTTCCCCAACGCCGTGCGCCTGAGCGCTCCAGCTTCGGACGTGGCATGGGTGGCGGCTCCGATGCGGGCAGCGACCACGGTGGCCGCCGCAGCAACTTCGAGTCTGACGGAAAGCCCCGTGACTTCAACAACTGGGAGCGCAAGGGACCCCTTTCGCCCTCTGCCGGTGGCCCGCCTCGCGAGGGTGGCCGCGAGCACAGCAATGACGGACCCGGTTCCAGCTTCCGGAGAACCGAGGCCGCATGGGGTGAGGGACGTTCCCAGGACGAGGGCTCCCGCCCTCCCCGCCCCGAGCACGTTCGCCCGGAGCCTACACCTACTGCTGCCGATATGGACAACCAGTGGCGCGCGAGAATGCGCCCTGACGAAACCCCCAAGGAGCCCATCAGCCCCGCCTCCCCCTCTGCCACTCCTGCCGTTCCTGCTGCCCCTGCTGGTCGGCCCAAGCTGAACCTGACCAAGCGCACTGTCTCAGAGAACCCCACCCCCACCTCAGCCACCGGCGATTCCAAGGCTAGCCCCTTCGGTGCCGCTCGCCCCATTGACACCGCTACTCGCGAGCGTCAGGTCGAGGAGAGACGCCAGCTTGCTATCCGCCAAAAGCAGGAGGCTGCTGATAAGGCCAAGGCCGAGAAGGCTGAGAAGTTTGCTGAGAAGCAAAAGCAGGCCAAGGAGTCAGCCTCTACCGTGGATCACAACGGCAAGGATGCCCTTGAGATCCCCAAGGGTGGTGGCAACTTTGAGGTCCTCCAACGGGCCGGTGAGGATGGCGAGTTGACCGGTGACAAGGAGACCGAGGAGACGGCAGCTGCCGCTCCTGCCGAAACCAAGAAGGCGTCTGCTAACGGTTGGAGAGCCCCGGCCGCTGAGGCTGCTGCTGCTGGCGGTGACGACGAGGGATGGAGCACGGTCAGCGTGAACAAGCGCAACAAGGGCCGTGGACAGACTGGTCGTGGATTCGCATAAACGTATCGATACCCCGAAGCAACGACCGTCTTTGCCTCAGGCCTGGGTTTACCGGTATACAGGTGGGTTAATTCTGGACGAGGTTCATTCCCGGTCTTTGTGCGCTGCTCGGTCGAGTTACCTTGAGCGGTGCACTGGATAGGGTTGTCACTCATAATTACCACCTGCCCCGTCCATTCCTCTGTGCGGACGTATATTGCTTTTTCTGATTGAGCTTTATTCTCCTTTCCACTTCCTTTTACTCTTTTGTCCTTTGGTTTCATGATCTCTTTTCCTTTTTCGTGGGCTAGATTTTTTCGACAAACATCTAGTCCTCGCTTTGATGATCTGGCGGTCCGAAAAGTTTCATTTTATGTCTTGTTCGCTATCTAGCTATTATTCCCATGCGTGACTCAAAGTGATCTGCCCATGACCATTACAGCCGATGCGAAATGAATATTACATGTTCCATTTTATTTTTTCCCCCTCTCTTGTTTCTCTCAATTTTCTACTCTCTTCCGTTCGATTGACCACGGGTGGTCCTGTTTCTTTCTCGTTCCTGTCTGCCGTTGGGATCTACGTTGGGGAGTTGATGCCTTGACACTCTTCTTTCTCCGTTCTCGGCCATGCGAACAAGACGACTTTGCGAGAATAGTCATTACGAGCACCCCTCTCATGAGCACAACGTTGACGAAATCAATTCCTGTTCTTTTGCTTCGACTGCTTCTAATTCAATTCTTTGGGATCTTTGCATGGCAGAGTTGTCTCGATGGTCTTTGCTCCATTTCTGCGTACTAACCTTGAATTTCCGCTTAGCATAGAATGAAATGCAGTCTTCACTGACAATGAGTTTTTGTAAAATGTTTTAGGGTATTATGTAGAAATTTTTAGATGATACATATAGAGAGAGGCTATAAATATGCAATAATACCATTGAAGGTACTTGAGTGCCCTGTATATATCTCTGACAATGCTCCCAAGACACTAGTGTATCAGAACGTGGTCGATCAGTTACCGTGAAGAAATGGGGTGGTTGGAGATTTTTCTACTGATGCATGGTGTTTATAGCTATGTACGGAGTACGGAGTACATATATTATGTCTAATTTTAGTAATAATATTGTCTGCAAGACATCAGCAAATAGTTTAGATTTCACCTGAACTATTAGATCAAGCAAGGGTATATAAATAGGACCCACTAGGCTTAAACGGTCAGAACGTGGGATATCAGCGCAACGAGGCAGAGGTATGAGACGAAGTTTAGTAGTATGAATAGGTAACTGTGTATTCTCGATTACTATTGATAAATATTCAAATGTTAGAAGCATCTAAATCAAAACATTTTATGAGATCATTCAGGAACCAATGAGCTAGCCAAGAAATAAAGTGGCCGGTATGGAATTAATTGAAACCCCTTCAAAGGGTCCAAGGATTATCACTTTCAGCCTTTCAATTTCCTTTTGTTTTTTTTTGTTTTTGTTGGTACCTGAGTACTTCTTAAACCCCTCGTCTAACCGTTGCAACCCTTTTAAATTGAACCCCTCAAGAATCCCGGGGTAAGCCCCATGTTGTCATGACCTCCCTCACTACCACGCTTGTCGCACCGATGGGTGTCGCTGCAGAAAAACAATGTCCTATGTGCTGGGGAGAAGGATTTCTCCAAGATGGTTCTGGCACTCACGATAGAATCCAGGAGTTAGAGGGGCAGGTGCATGCGTTGACAGCGCGCGCGTCAGCTACAGGTAAGCCTTTGCACCCGACTCTCTCTGCAGGTAGCGTGGATGCGATCGCATATCTACTGAGAAGACAGAAGAGTTCTCCCCTTCCCCTTCTTTCACTCTTAAACCCTCTGCTAACCTGATTGTAAACAGCCTCCAAACTCAGCGAGTACGAAGATGAAGTCCGACGTCTACGCTCCTCCCAATCCCAAGGATCCTACCACACACCACGAAGCAGCTCTTCACTAGGCAGACCCCCCCTCCCAAACCGACCAGTCACCACAACGCCCAACAACCTCAGACTCCCAACCCCAAACATACCACAGCCGCCTCACAAACCTCGCCTCTCTTCTCCCCTACCGACGCGGCAGCGCAACCCCCGCTACCGCACTCCCAACATCCAGCGGTCTCCCAAGCACCCCGACCGCGTTGACAACTCCTATCCCACACATGTCCCCCGCGAACAGCGAGCACACTGCCGAGCTGCAGGATGCGCTTACGCGCGAACAGAGACGGCGCGAGGCTGCCGAGTCGCAGCTTTCGCAGGCGAGTACTGAGCTAGAGGAGTTGACTGTGCAGCTTTTCAGTCAGGCGAATGAGATGGTTGCGGAGGAAAGGAGGGCTCGCGCGAAGCTTGAGGAGAGGGTTGCTGTGTTGGAGAGAAGGGATGTTGAGAAGCGCAGTCGGTTGGAGAGGTTGGAGAAGGCTATGGCGCGTGTGGAACGGTTGAGGGCTTTGGTTAATCACCAATGATAGTTCTCAACTATGGACCTTGGAAGGCTTTTGGCTGGTGGGTTTGACCCCTGGTTATTGTCTGCTTATGACTGGTATGATTGGATTATTTGATGATGGAAATGATTGGGCGTTTATTGGGTAGGATTTTGGGGCTTTGGAATCGCTTTTTGTTTTGATATTCGGCGCCATTGGATGGAGTTCTATAGTTTGGAGTCATAATTTGAGGGATTCGTGCACCCGATCTATCACGGAGTCTCCGTACGGAGCCTGTAGGTTTTCGTATAGGTAACATATATATGTAAAAACATAAAACTAGTCCTAAAATATACTCCCGACAAACCAAATAGGAAATGCACCCGGCGAATGACGTGCATCAAGGTTGGACCTTCCCGGAGTTTAGGCTCTGGGGGCATTTCACGTCCCCACATTAGACTTCCTTTAATAGCACCGGAAGTATTGCAAAAGTAACATTTGTAACATTTTATCTATCCTCTCTATATACAACCTTGAAACTAACCATGTCTATCGGCGTCGCTATCATCGGCAGTGGTATGCAGTTCTCATGTACACTTTAAGCTGTGTATGCATTTGACTAACATTTAACAGGTCTCTTTGCGAAAGAGCAGCACCTGGTATGATAAGCTGTCCAATGATGCTATCTTCTATATGATCTACTTGACTAACTAATTACACAGCCCGCTGTCCAAGCTGCCTCAAAATTCGAACTCAAGGCCATCTATTCTCGGTCCTTGAAGTCAGCCCAGGACCTCGCCAGCGGCACCTCTGAAGTCGATCTCTACTCCGAAGACTCAGGCTCTGGCAAGTCCTACGCCGATCTACTGGCTCGTTCAGATATCGGCGCTGTGATCATTGCGTAAGGGGTCCCCATTTCTCTAGATTCCACTCCAACAGCAGGGCGAAACACTAACTCTGACTGGACAGCCTCCCCATTCTGGTTCAGCCGGAGTTCATCAGGAAAGCCCTTCTTGCTGGCAAGCACGTCTTGTCTGAGAAGCCTATTGCCAAGGATGTCGCCACTGCTCAGGAACTTTTGAAATGGTACAAGAGTGAGATCGATAGCAGCAAGGTCTTTTGGGCAGTCGCCGAGAACTTCCGTTATATCACCAAGTTCCTTTTCGCGGCAGAGCAAGTCCAAAAGCTAGGCAAGGTCCAGAACTTCCGCGTCAACGTTCACAGTCTGATGGATGTGAAGAACAAGTACTTCCGTATGTCCAGTCCCACTTCAGGCTCTACATGGAGGATCTTAAAACTGACTATATCTGAATTAGACACCGCCTGGCGCAAGACTCCCGGGTACCAGGGCGGATTCCTTTTAGACGGCGGTGTGCACATGACTGCTGCGCTGCGCCTGATTCTAGGCCCCACGGAGCGTCTTAGCATTCTGTCAGCGCAGTCACAGCTGCAGCAATCATTCCTGCCACCGGTTGATACAGTGGATGCCGTTGCGAAGACCGAATCCGGTGCTACGGGTGTTATCTCTTTGTCGTGGGGATCGTCATTTAATGATCAGATTTTCGAGGTTGCTTGCGAGAAAGGTGTCGTCACCTTGAACTTTGATGATGTGACAGTTAATGGCGAGAAGCACCATGTTGAGTTTGATGGCAAGGGTGTTGTGCCAGAGGTGGCGGAGTTTGCAAACTCAATTCTAAGTGGAAAACCTGACAGCAGACAGTCTCCCGAGGAAGCATTGGCAGATCTTGAGATCTTGGAGCAGATGTTGCGGAGTGGCGAGAAAGATGGCGAGAAGGTTCAGTTGCATTTGCAGTGATATTTAGATACTATGTAGAAATCATTTTAGAATAAAATAGCATCAATGGCATAAATGATCAAGATATATTGAAATATCAGCATGAATGCGAAGCATAAGAAAGATAGAAGAGACCATGGACTACAGTATAGAACATCAGATATTGCCTAAATAGGAATATTAGGGCTAGGGCTTCACCAACCCTAGGCTGACATAAGTGGTCTATTTTCGCTTAGTTCGCCCAAAGCGCACTAGTGTGGGTCTCCCACTCTGCTGCGGGAGAACCTGAGAGAGAAGTTTTCGAGATTGAACTCCGACTCGACAACTCTCGAACGCCCGGCGAGACCCAGCAATACCGACAAGGTCAGTCACCAAATACGCATGATATTTGACACAGTCACTAATTTTGATTCCAGATGGTCGCCGCTAAGCAGCACATCCCTATCGTGAAGAAGCGTATGTTCTCGATCACCTGTTCCATTCCTTTTCGTGCCCGTGCCCGTGCCCTGGATACCCTCGCCTTTCGATTGTCGACCAAATGAAACAAAGCAAGCTCAGCAAGATGCACCAAACGAAGAGAACAACTTTTGGAGGATGTCGTGGAAGAGGAAAAAAAAACCAACATATCTTGGATCGAATGCCGACATTATCCGCAGGGGCATGGAGACTGAAACGGGCACAAATCATTGACATTTACGATCGGAGGACTAACATCGACCGCAATTAGGCACGAACCGCTTCAACCGTCACCAGTCTGACCGGTTCATGCGCGTTGGCGCCTCGTGGCGCAAGCCCAAGGGTATTGATAACTGTGTTCGTCGCCGTTTCAAGGGCCAGATGGCCATGCCCTCCATCGGTTACGGTTCCAACAAGAAGACCCGCCACATGATGCCCTCCGGCCACAAGGCTTTCCTCGTCCACAACACCAAGGACGTTGAGCTCCTCCTCATGCACAACCGCACCTTCGCTGCTGAGTACGTCCCGCGCCACCTAGCGGAGCGATCTTGATCGCTCTCTATTATATCATAAACACTGTTGCTAACAAGCTCTACAGGATCGGCCACGCCGTTTCTTCCCGCAAGCGTGTCGAGATCATCGAGAAGGCCAAGGCTCTCGGCGTTAAGGTTACCAACGCCAAGGGCCGTGTCACCACCGAGGCATAAATGGAATAAACCCAGTTTGTTTCCTTTCAGTTTGGATTGGTGTAGGTCGGGGTTTTTGTATGGCGATACTATCTCTCTGGCGATAACGAAATTTAAGGAGTGCATGGCATGTCCGGCTCGGGCCCTGTCATAGTGCCGGGCGCTGTGAGGCGAGAGAATTGTTCTCTGAAATGACAACAAAAATTGCAAAAATCCCTTTGGTTCATTCCAATACATTTCAAGGCAGATTTTAATCTGACCTCGTACATGTACATCCGTGCGTGTCCAGTATTGGACCAGTGTAGCCAAGCAAAATCGTAACCCTAAAAAGTGACCTTCCCCATCTGATACATTTCTCTACATATTCAATACGAAACACCCCTTTACATATAGACGATCAATATATATGCACACGTTTCAGATCATCGGACCCACCTTTCTTTTGGTGGTGACGTACGCAACAAAAAATGCCTGGAGTTCCGAGACATGGACACAGCAGATAAAAAAAGGGATCGGGATACATCCAGTAGCCATCATAGATTTGTGTTTCATGTTAATGTTGAATATCTATAATGTACATGAACTGGAACCTGCGTCACTTGGCCCCCACGCGCCTATCATTTAAGACCTTAAGACCCCCTCCTGAAGATCCTCTTGACTTCCTGTTTTTTATTTAGGTCTTCATCTGGCTATGGAGACCGATCCTTTTATACTCATTAGCCCCTTCGATCCTCTTCCTCTCTACCTCTAGAGTCCCTCCTTCCCCAGTCCCTCAACATGCCCTCAGTCCCACCCCGATATGGTCGCTGGGTACTCATCCTGGGTCCAATAATCCTGATCCTCATAATCCTCCAATTCAACCACGCCAATTTCGGCGCAAAGATCACGCAGGACGTGATCCAACCGGCCGCAGGTCTCACAATCGAAATACACAACGAAACAACCGCAAAAACCGAGAATGTACCGTCATATTGTCCAACAGAAACAGGAATGGACGACGTGCTCGTAGTGATGAAAACCGGCATCACAGAATCACAACACAAAGTCCCCGTTCACCTAAGAACAACCCTCCGCTGCGTCCCGCACAAGATCATCGTCTCAGACTTCGAAGAAGACATAGCCGGAACACGCACCCACGATGTCTTCCTCAATGTCTCCGACACCCTCAAACAAAGTAACGCCGATTTCGCCCTCTATAATCGCGCCCGCGAAGGAGGCCGCGAAGCCCTAACACAACAAGACCATGCCAAAGTCGAAAATACTCCCTTCGGCATGACCGATAACCCGGGCTGGAAACTTGACAAGTGGAAGTTCCTCCCCATGATTCATACCGCGCGACGCGAGAAGCCAGATGCCAAGTGGTTCGTGTTCCTCGAAGCAGACACGTATCCGATCTGGCCGAATGTGCTCGGATGGCTGTCTCATTTCAATCCTGAGGATAGACTGTATCTAGGGAATCAGATGCAGATTGGGGATAGTTTATTTGCGCATGGTGGGTCTGGCTTTGTGCTTTCGCATGCTGCTATTCATGCTGTGGCGGATTTTCATAAATTGCATATTGATGAGTGGGATGCCATCACGGACCAGGAATGGGCGGGAGATTGTGTTCTTGGCATGGCGCTTGATGCGGCCGGTGTTGGGCTTACTTGGTCTTGGCCCCAGGTTACTACTCAGTCAGTTTGGGAGCAGGATATGTTGCACGAAGCGTTTGGGAAAACGCCTTGGTGTTATGCTCCTTCGACATTCCACCATATGACGCCGGCGGATGTGGATCGGTTTTGGGAGTTCGAGCAGCAGTGGTTTGCCGATGTAAGTTGTTTCCCTTTTCCCCCTTTTTTTTGGATACCTCGTATTCGGATATGACGATATCCGTCTCCCTGTAACGTATGAATACGTCACTAACAAACCCCAGACAAACTCAAGCGTTCTCACACACAGTGACATCTTCCGCAACCTCATCCGTCCAACCCTCGCAGACCACCTAGACAACTGGGACAACTTCGCGAGCGCCGGCGATGACAGAGAAGATTACAAGGGTCCCGCGACGCCCACTTCTTTCTCCGCTTGCGCGGACTACTGTGCCGCAGACCCAAACTGTGTCCAGTACCGTCTGACGGCCGACATGCGCTGCACAACGTCCGACGCGGTACTGCGCGGGAAGCCCGGACCAGGCACGCAGTCGGGGACGATGCTGTGGCGGGTTGATGCTGCGGTGGGGCAGATGGAGAAGTGTGAGAAAGTAACGTGGGTGACCAGCTAGAGTTTTGGATTTCGAGTGGCGTCTGTTTTATCGTTAGAGATACATTACTAGGCGTTGAGCGTTGAGCGTTATGTTTTGGTCTGGTTCGGTTTTGCATGAGGTTGAAAGATACCGGGATTTATAGCATTGGCTGGTAGACAAATTGGTAAAGAATTATACATGAACATGCTGTTTATTGGAAGTGGAGGGTGTGTAGAATCTTGAGTTGTGTCGAGCTGTAGCCTGTGTAAGGAACAATTCAGGTGGGTCGATAGGAGAGCATCTACTTTCTCAGGCAATCTGGCTGCTCTTTACAATGGTGCCTCCGAGCTCTTCCTATTTGGGGTTAGTATGAACTTGTTTCTTTGTTCGTATTTTGAGGCAAGGATGAGATCTCGCATCTCGCTTAGAAAGAGAGAACGATTTAACCCCGTGGTGCTGGAGCTTGATATATATCGAATGGAAAGGGTACCAAGTTCTATAATTTCGGACCTCTGATACAAAGCACATACATAGACTCCAGGTTTACAAGTGGTATGTTATGCGAATGAATTCTGATAGATTGCACATATCTCTATATCTCGATAAGACTTCTAAAAGCAGCAAATCTATATGCTAGAGCACACCAAAAAAAAATATCAATGTATCGACATGTCATGGAAGACCAAGACCAAGACGCTATGCTCGTGACTTTTTCATTGTAAGTCAGCAGAGTGGTATCAGGAAGACATAGACAAAGAGATTTAGAAAAATGATATAGGTAGAAGGTATTTTCAAGAAAGGAACCCCTAAAGGACAACATCATTAGTTCGTAGCAGCTGCCTCTGTGACTTCAAGGGGAGACTCGTTCATCTTGGCAGCAGCATTGGTGATATTGACAAGACCAACGCCTTCTACAAGCACTGTGCCAGTCTTTGCATCTGCAGCATAGTCATCGTCACCCAAGCCAGGCGGAACAGTCCCATGGCCAATGACAATTTCCTCGCCTTCAGCAGCAGGGACCCAGTCCGGACACTTGTGAGGACCCTCCATGCCCGCAGGAGGCAAGCCCCAGCTAGGCATAGGGCTGCGGTAAGACCAATCACCATCTTTGTCGGCGTACGCAACAGCATGCAAGAAAATACCCAGCTCGTGGGGACCCGGGTCCGAGTACAGCTCTGTACCGCAGACTTCACAGAAATTGCCGGACAGACGCTCGCCCTTGCGCTTTTCGTAGTCCTCGGCTGCGGCCATCTGCTCGCGATGCATGATCTCGTTGACAAGCACGGGATCGGTGTTCGGCGGCACATTCGGTGCCGCGGTCAGATGAGTGCGGTACGAGACCGTGTCGGGGATCTCGGTCTTACCCATGAGAGATAACCGTGCGACGATCTCTTCATCGCGCTCTGCGGTCGCCTCGGCTTTGCCAAGCTCAGGTCCGAAGACACGGCGGTTGGAGTAGATAGGGTCGTTGGTGATGGGGTGGCCCAAGAACTGAAGGTGGACACGGATTTGGTGCGTACGGCCAGTCAGAGGGAAACAGTGCACGATACTGTAGCCCTCGCTCTCATTGGCAAAAATCGCAGGCGGGGTAGCGGGACGCTCGTCATCGCTAGATGACTCGGTCTCCTTTGCTGTCTCGGGAGGGTAGTAAGCCAGGCGACGGAACTTGGTTGTAGCTTCCTTGCCGGTGGCGCGTACACGGTTGAGACCCAGCTTCGGGCTAACCTGCATGATCGGCTGGTCGCAGACCACCACGCCGTCGGGGAACTTGCCCTTCACACGCGCGACATACTCTTTCTGTACGGTCCGGGCCTTGAGGGCTGTGGCCATTTTCTCGGCGCCTTGGGGGTGCTTTCCAATGAACATAATTCCAGATGTCAACCGATCAAGTCGGTTGCATGGGCGAGGTAGCCATTCGGAGCTGCGCTCCGAGCGTAGGATTTCAACAACCGTGTTGAAGTGGTATCGACCCGCAGCGTGCACCGGTACGCCGGCAGGCTTATCAATAACCATGAGGTCATCGTCTTCGTAAATGATTCCAACGGGAAGACTCGTAACGGGAGGTTCGTGGCGGTGGAGGGTGTGTGAGATGACCTGGCCGTTTTTAAGCGTCGTTTCGGGGCGGGCTGTTACACCGTTAACCTGTACAAGGCCATCTTCCAGGGCTTTTCTCTGGTAATTGTCAGTTTTCAAGTCTTTTACATCTGCCGATCCACGTATCCACGCATCCACGTACATAGTATTCTGGTTTCCGATCGCGAAACTCGGAAGTGAAGATCTCGACCAGCTGGCGACCGCGCCATCGCTCCTTGCAATTGGTGTTATAGGTGTAGTGGTACGGCGTGACGCGACGGAAACCACCGTCCAAATAGTAAGGCGCAGGCCATGGATCGCAAGGGGTCACGAGTACATCGGGGGTCTTTTCTTCCACGGGATTCGGGGTAACTTGATCGACGTTCATGAGGGCCATAGTGGGAAGTTTGAGCTTGCCTTGCCGAAGCAAATAGGCCGTGATACGAGGTGAGGGAGCCAGGTAGGCGAATGTGAGAAATTGAAGAGACGTGGAGAATTCAAAAGAAAATAAAAGTTAAGATCAATAAGTTGCCCCACATGGAACAAATCAGGCACGGAAAATATTTCGATTTTCAATTTTCCATTGCCCCTCTGGATTGCCGTTTCGAGTTAGCCTCTTTGGGGTTAGCGCCTTTTGGACATGCCTTTATATACTCCGTAGAATACAAAGGGATACTAATTCGCCCAGTAGCATCATCTTGATACAAAGTGAGTCAATCATATACTTGACTCCCAGTGTCTGGACTCCAAATATGGCGTCTCTGAAAGTTTGTGATAGGCTGGCCCACGGGATTGACCTTGTGTACTCGGCAAGTAGAATGCTTGTCTCCTACTCTTTAAATCATGAGATTGTCCGAGCATTTCAACAAACCGAAGTCGACATGTACCGTACTAAGATTCAGATCTCTGACTATTGAGGATTTAAATGCTTCGGGCCTCCCAGAATTAATTCCCTCAGGTACCAGCCCACTTCTTTCTCTAACTAGTTCCCTTGAGGCGCAAAACAATTAGCCCTATGGGTTAGGTACAGACAATCATACGAATTCCGCTCCTTGCTTAGCCTCGTCTCCGGATGTAGGTCTTTGCCGTCACTTCCAATAAATTTCAATGTCCAATCCTCTCCTAGTTCCATGAGCAAGACGCCCACAATCAGCCCAATTACCCTAGGTCCGAACACACTCTGCGCAGGGCAAACAAACGGCTTATTGCCGAACGGGGTAAATGCGTGTTTTTGCGTGTTTGTCAAAGCATCCCATCGCCTTGGGTCGAAGAACATGGCCCCTGGTCCCCAGGTGTGCGCTGCTGTGTGAGACCACTCAATATCTTCAGCCTCGACCTCGGGGGCACTTGACCCGTAACACTGAGAGGCTCGATACACTCTTTTTGTAGGTGGATACAGACGCAGTGCCTCATTCACAAGTTGTTCCACCGAGACGTTATCTATCCCGACCTTCTGCACGAACACGGCTTTGCTGGGAGTGCGAGCAAATGCAGCTAGTTGCGTTCGCCATTCTGGATGTTGAAAGCCGGTCATATATCCTGTCTCAATGAGCATACATATAGTAATTCGCCACATGGTTTCAAAGCCAGGAAGAATCATGTTCAGCGGGTTGTTCTGCGGGTTCAGGTCTTGTGTTGCAGGGAATACGCCCAGGATGGCCTTTTGAAGGTGGGAGTTGTTTTCGAATGGAGTTAATGTTGTTTTACTCTTCGAATTTATCCAGGTGATGTTTATTGCGTTGGAAAGCTCGATCAAACAACTGTCAGGAAGGCTGAGGGCTTCGTCTTCCATCGAAAACAGCACCTGAAGAACCATTCGTAGTGTCAATGCTTGGACCAGATCCATAACACGGATTTTTATCTCCCCGTGGCCGTTCGCCGTTGCATCTTTGATGTTACGCCGCACTGCCCTCTGGGCGATGTCCGAAAGAAGGCTCCAAGCGGTTGGGCTAAGGTTGATAAGACTTTTTGCTTGGACGATAAATTGCTTCACACGAGGCTCATCGTGACTAGTGAATGCGTTATCAATTCCAAAGGCAACACGAAGTCTTTGGTTTGGAATAGCTCTTGACTGCAGTAGAGTCAGTCGATTGTAGGGCTTTTTGAATGGAGGTTTTCTTCCGATTATGCGCCAGCACCTGCTGAAGTTGAATGCGTAGAATCGAGAATGCGCAAAGGACAAGGAAAGGCCAGTGATGGCGACAATAACGTAAATAAAAATATGCATCTCGTTTATTTCTTGTTTTGGATTTTTGTGTTGGATTGAAAATGTCAGATAATCGAAATCTCGCGATGGAACTTCAGTAGTCTCCTGCGTTGGATGATAAGAAGCCTATATTTGAGGGATGGGGGCAGTGGATTTATGATTCTTTTGCCTCGCCTGTCCTATACCTGCCATTCCCCATAAGACCCTTGACTGGTTGTCAGCCCTCGTAAATGGACAGAGGAGAGCGGAGTGGCTTTTGCTCTCGTGACGACATAAATTCAGCTTTACTTCAATACTGTGGAAGCTGCGCCCTCATGCGACAGGATGGCTCGTTGTCAAACGAGGTTGATAAGTCCCTCATTGCGAATTGGCTGGTTTCTAACTCTGGTATGTTCAGTCTGCCTTACTGCCAACACAACTTCCCGTCTCGTTTCAATCCTTGTCGGTGATATGCAATTAACAAGAGATGCAATCAACAAGAGACTCAGCGTGAAGGTGGACAGATAGCTAGGGCTTTTGCCTAACTCGAAGCTAATAGGTCATACTCAGGCACACTAAATGCCTTGCTATCACCGGAATGAATCGTTTGTCAACTCATATATCCGTAACCTTGGCATGTCGGAATTTGCTGAGGGGAGCCACTTGGGTAGGATATGATATCCTGACTGTTCAAATGTTGATTTCAAAGTATATATGCAGCAGAATGAAACCTTCGCAGACCCAGCCTATGGAAAATTTTATGTTCCAAGATTATACAATTACTGTTGTAAAGGGCTCTTTGATGCAGAAGCAGCATGAATTAAACTACTGTATCTCGAAAAAGATCTGTAAATTCTTCTCAAGTGACAAACATTCGTTTTCTTATTCCGATCAAGAATGCAGTAATTGCCCAGATCTTGCCCCTTCAGCTTCTTCGCATAAATTGGAAGCCCTTGACCGAGGTATTTCGAATGAACCAATTGATTTGCTGATCGCCAAGAGGCGCACTCGCCCCCGCGAGGCGACCATATTCCTAAATACGCGTAGCTAGGGATGTACACAATATGCATGCAATGACTCGCGTACATTAAACCCACAGAATAGAGAACACGTTGCAAGTCTTCCTACTCTTGCGCGCATAAAACAGCATCGCTTCCCTGGCGCCTTGAATTATGAGGCTCATAAAACTTCCCCTCGTACTTTTGTTGGACATCCTTTCGCATGTACTATACGTTCAGAATCTGTGGAAAGCTGTAACAAATCGGCCCTGGTAGTTTCCTGGCACGTTTTCTGGAACAGAGAACTATAAATGTGTCAGAATCTCTTGTTATTCCCATAATCAGGCCAGCAAAATTTTGCTTCCTCAAATTGGCAGTCCTCTCACTATTAGAACCCAACACAGGCTTCTTATCATGTCTCCCAATACCCAAAGCCCTTCAAACGCAAGCCAATGTGTTACACCTTCATCAGTTGACACCGATGGCCTTATGGAATTTCTGAAACTAGTTAATATGCTGGCTTCAAGTCCTGAATCCCAAACCGTGTCCACCATACTTGAAGAAATCGTCCATCAGCGGATAACCAGAAGGACAAACGTCTTACCGAATACTTCAAAGAAGTACAAGGCCTCCACCAGCGGATAGACAGTATCCAGTCATTATACTTATTGGAGCTCGATAAAGTTTCTCAATCAGCGAAGGACATCAATACACTCCAGATTGGGTTTAGTAAGGTCGTTAAGAGCCTTACGATCGTCAGGCAGATGGCTGAATATTCCTCGGGCGCACTAGATCGCTCAACCGATCTACACACAATCAATCAATCATCAGATTCTATTGGACATGTTCAGTAGTACATCAATTCTTCATCCGGTCAATATATTAATTACAAACATATATTACCTATGCTATAGAGGAGTTGGTGACGATATGAGAATAGAATTATGCTCTTAGAAGAAAGGGCTTTCTGGTGATATTATTTATGAGAGGATTCATCCCAATTTGAAAAGCCTGACAATATCAAAAGTTACCTGATAGAAAGTTAGGCCAGGAAAATCCAGACCAAACTAATCCAAATTTGGTTTGGTTTGGTTTAGTATGGATTAAGGAAGATTGGCCACCAACTGTTTCTTGTCTTTGCGATTTCAGAACTCTTCATCACCCTGCCATGAACCCGGCATCACAGGTGGCGGGCTCTCAGCCCATTGAAAGAACACACTAACCACAGGCTCACTGAGCCATGCAACTTCCTCATCCCAATCCCAAAGTATCTTCCAGTCTTGTGGAAGAGGTCCAGCATAGATGGACTTTAATCGTGGCCCCTTCCCATCACATGCTAAAATAGTCCAGGAAGCATTCCGAAGTGCCCAGCCCTCATCAAACATCTTCCGCTCCCACCACCCGTATGAACCCAGGTTCACACCCGCAGCTTGCAAGTCCTCGAGCCAGAACACTAATGCGCTCTCGAGCTGACGTTTATTCTGTCGGACCTCCCGCCTCTCCACGGGTGCCGGCCATCTCGCATCCATCAATCCTGCAAACAATGGGGTGGTCGCTTCCCAGATCTCGTTTCCCTGTCGACTGAGATCCTTAGCACGCAACCCTTTGAATAACCAACGAGTAAGCCTTCTCCACTCAGAGGATTTGGTTCTCATGTGCTGTGTGTTTGACTTGCTAGAGACATGATGGAAGTAGACCTTTGAAAACTCGTGGAGCGAGCTCACGGTGGCCCCATTTAATTGGCGTCTTACAGTCTCAGCATCTGATACTTCGCGAACAAATATATCTAATAGAACCTTCGCGTCAACATACTCCCAGATAATCGACGTGAACCGGGAATCAAGGGTAACCAGGGGCGACTCCGCCTTCACTAAGTCCCATAGGCTTGGTACGCTCCAAAGAAAGCGGTGCAGAGTGCTTTTCCGGTAGTATTCAGCCCTTGGGAGGAATAAGGCGCATGCGGCATCGGATAGGTCGTCGTTGAATTTGATGAAGCGGTATACGCTCGCGATATCACTAGCTTCGTCGTTGTTTCGACAGAGATAGTATAGCGGTGTGTACCCGTCGGCACTTGTTTCGTGCATGCTGAGACCTGAGCGCACGAGGTATGTGATTGTGTCGAGATCGCCTTCAAATGCTGCGTACTACCTTTCTTTAGTGGGGGGCGCTATTTTGTAGGTGGCGCTGGCGGACTGGTTACTCACGTGTAGTAGCGTCCATCCGCGCGGATCACGGTCATACAGCGATGCCCTGCGCTCATTAAACAGAGGAACCATGGCTAGGAGACCACCATCAGAGGCAGCGTCGAAGACGTCCGTATCAAACGGCCTTACGGTCCAGTGTCGAAGGTTGTACGTCCATCCATTGCTGGCTCGTCTAGCACATATGTCCCATACATACCGGGTCAGCCATGCGGGTAGCTGTATTCGCGCGCGGTAAACTTAGCAGTGTTAGTGTGGATGTTAAAACCATCGTCTCGCCCGACCGACCTTCTTCGCCTGGGAGAGTCGCAGTCGAATCTACCATGGAGAATTTGGACGAGTAGCTTCCGAAAACCGAATACGTCCAGGGTAGAATCGGATAGTCTTTGTTCTGTGCGATCCATCCCTCTGTTTTATTCTCTTTGCAACTCGTACTACGAGCACCTATGCTCGGTATTAGATTGGTGCTGTGTGAGGATTGGCCCTGGATATTCAGGCCAGCAGTCGACGCCATCTGACCGGCAATCAAAGCTGGCTGCTGTCTAGCCAGCGCTCTAATACACATTAGTAAGCCGAGTCTTGGAAAGCAGCAGGGAGAAACATACATCGCATACGTCTGCTGCGCAATCCCTAGCAATTGCATCGCATCTCGTAACTCATCCTCAAGCCGGCGTGCCACTCCCTTCCCAAAAATAACCTTGACCCTCGCTCTGTTTCCGGTTGAGCTTCCTTTATCCATGTCACGCTGTCCCAAATCGCTCACGAGCGCATCGAGCTTGTCCTTCGCATTTTTGCAGTAACGAATGCTTAATTTGATGGCAGTGTTGCTAGCGAACAGTTGTTGGTCGCGGCTAAGCTCCGTCTCTAAGTCGTCTAACACTAACTGCACCAGTGTCAGACGATCTAGTAGAGAATTTATGTATTCGGGCACTTCATGCACGTCGTTCCATATGCGCTTAAGGGCTAAGATGTCCTTGACCGTTTTGGAGGTGGTGTCGGCTAGGATAGTCTTTAGCTAAGTCGACCTACAGGATGTTTTGGAACCTGCCCGTAGAGTAAAAGATTGGACCATAATTTAAACCCACCTGGAGGCCAGAGTTCGAGTGACCAAAGGTTGTAGAAGCCATGGCTGTGATATGTATATAATGTGTGTAGCTGGGCGGAGCCTCAGCCTGTCAAGATTAGGATCTGACTAAGTTACAACATCACTAGTTAAAGCGGGGTCGCTGTACGAGAGAGATTCAAGAAAAGATGGCGCAGATGCCCAGCAATAGTTGCACACTCGAATAGAAATGATTTCAGATGTGGTGTAGATACAGGGAATCGTCCTATTTTTATCACTGGCTAGAACAGAAGAAATTTTGACAAACTGACAAATAATATTGAATCAACCCGAAGTCTATACAATATTCAGATGGAACATTCTAAGACAACTTCAGTATGGCTGATTTTTAGAGAAAAACCGGAGATCTCCGTAAAAATTCTGTAATTCGAGGTAAACAGTCCAAACGCAGGTGTTCACAAGAGGAAAAACTTCAAAATGAAATTCCGACAACTTAAGAAAAACACAGAAATTGCAAATATCCAACATGTCTTCGACACGGCGCCCATAATGTGAATTCACTATAACCCCTTCCGAGGACTCAGATTCGCTTTATAGCCGCTATCAGAACAACGACTAGGTCAGCCAATTGCCTATGCCACGAAATAGTAGCAAGAAACGAGACATATGTATTTGAGGGATGCATTCCAAGGTGGTGTTTAGAATTTGGGTCAAACCTACGTGTCCCGTTTAACATCACGAGCCTGTGCCTTTGGCTTCTGTAATGATTTCTCTATCTTCTCTTGCTCGCAGGTCGAACAGGTTCCACATCTCTGGTGCTCGAGCGTCGCAATGCACTTGGCTTTTTTCTTTTGCTTTTTGCATGCTTCACTGCCTGGATTCTTACAACTGGTTGTTCTAGTTATTTCTTTGGTGCTGGGGCTGCCGCAAGAGTACTTATGGAGCTTGTATTCCTGTCGACACATTGTTGGGCTGTGGACTTTCAGTAATGGTAACCTGGTCAGGGCAAGCGGAAAGCAGGTAGTTGATGGCGAATGAATTGCAACCTTAATAGAGTAGCACGCAGGGAGGGATGTGTTAAATAAGGAGGTTTGGACTTGAGCCTCGGGGATAGGGGAATACACGGCCAGCACACCCCGTAGATTAGTCTTACCCCCACGTAGCTCAATGGGATGTTTGATTTGTTCACATGGTGACCACATGACAGTATCTTCGAACTGTGTTAAGTTAATACAAGGTTTACGTGGTTCCACGTTGCACCGCCATATTAAGCCAGGCCATGGATACACTACAAGGCTGTGGGTGCTGCCTAGGTCTTGGCATTAGTATTAGAGCCAGGGTTGAAGAATATGTAGGATACGACAACTATATATCTCCGACTATGTACATTTAGAGTGATCCACTTCCTGACAGGAACTTAGAGCCTCGTCACGGCCTATCGTGGCCCATTGCCACTCCCATTATTAGGCTGCCCTTATGGCGCACGACCGCGAAATCGCTGTGACGCCTCGGCGAAGTTCCAATACAGCTTGAACCGTCTTCGCTAGACGACAATTTCTAACGTGTCCCTTACAGAATTTGCTCTTTCGCTCGCTATTTCTCAGTAGCGTTCAAGCTCGACCTCCGTGAAGGCGTCCGTTCGCCATGGCGGTAGCGGGCGTGGTTCGATCGTTTCCCTGTCGACATCCATGGTTGTCAATGCTTCCGCCAGATGGAAGCGCGCGTACGACCCTACATTGTTTCTACGATTCTGGGCCCGTGATAATGAGCTCCAAATGGGGTGGTCACGCGGTAGAGTGTAAAACCTCACGATGGTGCGCTGTGCTTAGTGGCGAAGACGGAGGTGCGTAGGAAGTATGTGGGCTTCGACATCTAACGTTGCGGTGGCTACTGCCCGGAATGCCGATAACCAAGAGACATTAAGTAGCTTCGGCAGGCCTACTTGAGACCACTACCCCAGTTTTTCACCCAATAAACGAGGTGGACAGAGCCTCTCACTCAATCCAGTAATTTACAGGTCCGCCGTTTACAAGCTAAAAATGCATTAATTATGCAGTTACACGCCGGAAGTCTGTTTGTCTAGTTTACACTATATTGGGGCCCCAATGGGTTACCCAATGGGTTGGGCTGGGTTCGGGTTAGAGTGGGTTGTGCCGAAGTCTAGCTACTATAAAACTTTACTATATGCCCAACGAGGCTAGGGACCAGCCAGGGGGTGTTCTCCTAGCTTCTTCGGTTCTTTTAATCCATGGCACTGAAATATAAATAGTGGTCCATGGATCTCGAAAGCAATTTGACTACCATTACCCCATCACATTCATAACTCGCTTTCTCTGACCAAGACTTGCTCGACAATATGACGCACAATTCAATAAAGATCGAATTGCTTCAAGCAGAAGTCGACGAAGATTATCAGAGTTTCTTTCGCCTCCTGGTCAACGGTCGGAGCATAAAATATGTCACTATAAACCCTGGTCTCTATAGTGCTGACGATATGTGTTTCGGCCCTTCACTGGTTTCACTTCTACCCACTCTACCCGCTGGAGATTGGAATGATGGACTGGTGGCCAAAAATGAATCGAATGGCCAACCCCACTTTGCCTATGCTATTCGGACCGCTTTTCCTGGAGTTAAGAATACCTGGAACAAAACTTCTGTTGATTATACGGAGATCGTGGTCGGAAAAAAGTTACGAACGGGCATTTATGAAGTTGAGTGCAATTTGTTCGACGACGTGGTTGTGGTTAAATTCGCTCGCTTCGACTGGGAGATCCAATATCTAGAGAGTGAGACCACAGCTTACCAATGGATGGAGGACTATGACATCGGTCCACAATTCCTTGGCCATTTAACAGAAGATGGTCGTGTGATCGGATTCTTGATGGAACGCATCAAGAATGCCAGGCATGCTGGCCCACAGGACCTTGAGTCCTGTCGGGAGGCATTGTCTCGATTACATTGCCTGGGGATCCACCATGGAGATATAAAGCGATTCAACTTTCTTATTCGTGATTCACAAGCTGTTTTAATCGATTTTGACTCGGCACGGAAGTGTGGCGACCGAGATGCGCTTCTGACAGAGCTTGAACATTTACCGAATTCCCTAGAGGATTTATCGCGTCGAGGGGGAAGAGGACTCCTTTGAACTGTCTTTGCTGAGTATTGTAAGAGTGGTCTAAGTGGTCTGAATGGACAGAGTGATAACACCCAGTTCGTTAATTATCTTTCCATGGGTCTTTTTTAAGGTCTTTTCTAGGGTCTTTTAGAATATGTCCACTAACTAACTATCCGATAACATTGTTAGTGGGGCACCACCCACCGTTGATACGAGCTATTTATAGACTTCTAAGACTACATATATAGATAAATGTTGATATCATGGCAGCTAGTTAACCCTCTGCCAGCGAAAAAAAAAACGTTGGCGCCAATCAATCATGATGATAGATAACACATAAATTAGCAAATAAAAGAATAAAAAAGAATTGCAACCTGTGGGAATCGAACCCACGCTACTTTCGTAACTAGAATGCTCACTGTATTCAGTGAAGAGGGAGGAGTTCTCTTGAGTCTAGCGCCTTAACCGCTCGGCCAAAGTTGCGTAACACGTTGAGATAAGGCAAATTAGAACAACTCATAAAGTGTTTCTTTATATCTTGATAAGTTCTGCGACAGTCTATCCATGTAATTTTACACAATGAAGGCCGTCTGGTTTCTGTCAATTTACCCAAAGGCGACCACCAAATCTTCTCTAGTCAACACCCTCTAGGCAGTATTGTCAAACAGACTCTAGATGTCGCTTATTTCTGAATCAGACATTCACGGCTATTGATGTTATAGCCCAACGGAACTTGAAAGCTAGCGAATAGCTACTCCAAGTTCCATCTAAGCTTTTATCTGAGGTAATCCGTAAAATAGTCAAAACTACAGTCAAAATCTGTTGTAAAATGTACATGTGGATCTTCTCCAAAACGGGCTCTAGTAGTCTACCAGCAGTGATATGATATTTATGTTGGTGAAACCCCGCCCCCCTTGCGTGTGTATCTAAGTCGAACGAGAAGAGAAAGACGAGTCGATGCATCAGGATTTCTCGTCCATAAAGCAAGATGGCATGACGAGGGCCAGGGGAATTCTCTACGCTCCAGAATGCACACAAGCCGACCATCTTGCTCATAGAAAACATGCATATTTTCAACGGCCTCGCCTTGATCCTTTCAATTTTCACTTTCTCGTTTCAGGGAAGTTATGCAAAAAGATGCGCGAGTTACACCTAGTTGGCATCAAATCAATCTTGCCCAGTAAGCGCACTCGTCAACCTGGGGGCCGATGCTTGTCTGGTCGAACCCAGAACATCAGTCGCAACACATAAATGCAACGGTGGCTATTGCGTATATAGCGACCCTGGTTTCTCGGGATCACGGGGACTCTCTTTTCTGACCTCTCCAGAAATGGAAAATACGCTGAGGGAATCGCTCCGGAAAAAGGGAAGTCGATCTCTTGTGAGTTACGCCGTGGCCTACATGAACAGGACACGCTCGGGTGAGACACATAACTCAGACTATCAAGAACACTGCCCGTGGAGAGGAACTAGTTATTAAGATCTGGGTAAGTTAGTTTCTTCAAGTATTGATCTTGTTAAATGTCCTAGGCCTTTGACGTAGCGCCCTGTCAAATACCTCCCTCCACCTTCTTCTAATATGCCCGTCGACTACTCGCCCGTGCGATCAACGGAAAGCCAGGAAGAGGACATTTACGATGTCGAAAAGAGACCTCCCAGGTCGCAGTGCCGATTCCCCTTCGTCAAACAGGCCTTAAGTCCACGCTTTTGGATGAACCTATGGGCTATTTTCAACACTACATTCAGTATCTTTCTTGTGATAGCCACCTTCACCCTTAGCAACCATGCAAGGCCACTGACTGATAGGCCTATCCCTCCTTTCTGTCATTATTATCCCTACCTTGGATCTCCAGGCAAAGGCTAACATTAATCCAAGCTCCCATTCGCGAAGATGGCGCCGAGCGGTACGTCAACACACGTTGCAAACCCGATAAAATCTTTCAATCTCCTCCAACGGACGAGGTAGACGCAGCCTGGCATGGTTGGCTACGAGGTAAGTAGTCGGGTCTATGAGGGGAGCCTGCTGTTTGGCTCGCGTTAACGCCCAGGCACCATAGATAATGACCATTTGATCCGCGTCTCGGGAGATAAAGCAAAGGAATTGGGTCTTCCTGAAGCCGTCCAGATCTACGATGATCCTGGGTATCACGAATACACTGTTTGAGCCGACTTCGGAAGTCGTTCTATCCTGATCGATACTACCCGAACGCCAGTCAACACGAAATATTGCACCACACAAGTATGCCTCGCCCCCCAGCATTTCTTGTTTTGCTCTAATAAATTGCCAGACCATTGCTTTGATGTACTCCGACAAGCTATCCTTTGCCATGGAGATATTTCCCCGGTATACTGGTGGAACCACAACTACACGCACATCGATGAGACTGGGACTCGGCATTACACGGAGGAGTACTTGCGGTGAACACCTGAAGAACGGGTGACTGGATCATTTTTAACATGGAACACCGAGGTCCAGTGCCGTGACGTGAATGCCATCAATGCCTGGGTGATGGGAAATGAGATCGATGACAATAAATATGGGGGCCAGGTAGTGGACTGAGCGTGACTGTCTACGAGGGGGAGAAGAGTATATTACCATCTATGGAGCTCACAGTTTAAAATACTATAGTAGACAAGGCCACCCATCATGCACGCTGAAACACAAGCTGTGGCAGGGATCTAATATAATACTCTATACCCCATCATAAGTAGGACTGTCCTGACCTAGAAGGCATTATAGATGTGCTGACAGAGCCTCTTCAGTAACCACAATTGGTCCCGCATTGTCTTCTACCGTAGATATCTTGGTATATACGGAATTCAAGGGGGATATCACAAAAGAATGCCTGAGTATGTAGTCCCATGAAGACAAGATGTTTTATAACTTTGACGATCACGAATTATCTCGAACTGAATCGTTGGCCGTACACCTTGAATTACTTGTTACAACGCATCTTTACCAGGATAGAATTTCGATGAGGGGATCCTGTGACATGAGAGCATAATGATGATTTTGGATCGGGTATTTCGCCTCAACCTCTTCCCAGTTAGGGTACCGGGTCCAGTCAGCTCCAAGTTTTGACCATTTTTCTCGGATCAGAATTCTGTTTTGGGTCCGAATGTAGGGCTCGGTCCTAGCTTTGCGTACTACATCCTCAGACACGGATTGCAACTGTATAAAACTTGTGACCAGCAGATGTTCGTAGCTGTTCACGTCGAACAAACAATAGTCACGGGTGCATCCCACATTCCACTTGGCTTAGTGGGACATTTATCGACAATCATTCCATTTGGAATTTCAGACAAGTCGTTGACAAGGAGCTGCCACTTCTTGTCAATCTCAATGCCTTGGCTGTACCAAGAATTTCTGGTCCCTTGCGTAGGTTCATCGTATTCCTCATAGTGTGGGTAGGCATTGCCTTTCGATTTTGCCGCCGCGGGAAAATGTGTACAGTTCAGTTATAGTCGAATCATCCAACTCATATCAAGAATACTGAGACGCCGCTGGAGCTTATCGTGATGTTATCCAAATGGTGGGTGAAAAGAGAACCGAGCAGGTGGAGATCAGATGGCTCGAGACTGCGATGAATTTTACAAAAACAAACAGGAATGACTTTGGAACAGCACTAGCTAGCCCGGGCTTCCTGGCCATAAATACTATTGCTCCCTTCTAATACAGACACGGTCTATTGGAGTGATGAGTATCTCGAAGTGAAGGTAGAGAAGGTTGGAGAATCTCGATACCTGTTAATCTATAGAGGTGAAGGAAAGAAGAACTGAAATAACCTATGTAAAGGGGTTTTTGAACCCTGAGAGCTATTGTTCTTCGTACTCTCAAGGAGTTTCCTTGATACCCCAAAACTATAATAAATGCAAAAGGCAATTGTAAAGGCAAGCCCTAGAATCAAAAACTAGACATTCTAGCGACTATCAGCAAACATGTCAGGATTATCTGTATCCCCATCAAGGTCTTCAAAAAGTGGCATAAACTTCTCGTTCTTAGCCTCGGTTTGCTCAGGAACAACATTACACTCCTGAACCTCACAGTCCCTCAGCACCGAACCATTGCCGATATAACTGCGGCTCCCAACTACACATCCAGTCAACACACAAAGTTCTCCAACAACAACGTTATCAAGAATGACGCATCGCGTAATTCGAGCACCTCTGCAGATTTTGGAGTTTGGGCCGATACAAGATTCCTTTATAACAGAACGACTCTCAACAATCACGTTGGATCCAAGGAGACAGTCGGTTTTTGAAATAAAGCAGTCTGAAGCCACACATTCAGGAGAGGCAATGTTTCGGTCGTGGGCGAATGGGGATAGAGTAGCTGTATGGTCGGCCTCTTCATTGGATGCCTGTTTGGCCAGACGAAGGGATGTTGATAGGAGAAGAGCGGGATTGTCAACACGCCGGACAAGTGTAGGTCCTGTATGTAGATATGCTAGGAGAGGTGGTACTCCCGGGACATCGTTCTGTGGTGATTGGTGGGTGACAGTGCTCAGTCTCCGGTAGTCCTTCTCTTCATGGCTTCCTTTCTGCTGACTCAAACAAGTATCCATCCCTAGCTTCTCGTGTAGTCCACGCTGCCATGCAGACTTGGCCCATAACCCAATGAGATCTTCACTGACAGATACTAGTCTTTCTTGGCGCCGTACGAGATCCTTGACCCAGTACGGGAAAATGTAGAGGTGTGCATCGCGGAAGCCAGTCAATATCTTGGCTTGTGTGGCTTGCCGCTTTGCGAAGGATTGACGAAGAAGAAAACCTTTGTCACGTTCCAGGTTTCTTTTCACAGTATCCATCCCGATAGACATGAGCAGTTTCGCTAGCCTGGTCGGCCGAAGTGGCTCAACAGCTATCAGATCCAAGGCCTCATCCTTCACTGCATCTTCCACATGATAATACACACAAAGACCACCTCGACAGGGTCTTTCTTCCTCGGCCATTACGACCTGACCTTGAGACGCCATCCACATCTGTAGCAGGTATGTGCCCTCGATTTCACAGACGAGATCGCAAGGTAGGAGGAGAAAATCAGATTCTATGCAAGATTGCACCTCGGGAAGGCGAAGTAACTGTGCTGTTACCATTGTCGTTTGAAGATCTTGGGGGGAGATGACTTTTGGTAAAGGGAGTGATTTCAAATAAGGGTCTTGCTGTAAAGCAGATTTGATATGAGCGAGGGCGGAGGGGGGTGTGATCAGTGTGACATCTGAAACAATTAGTAAATAATAATAACCAAAATGCGATCTAAGGTTTGAATGCTTTTAACTCACCACTGATATGTGATATCTTACAGAACTTTAGCGGATAATATATCATCGGTTTGTTAGCGATTAGGGCAAGACATTTCGGCGTCTTTGCTTGGTCAAGAAGAGTCCCAAATGAGGTCCCAGGACCGCACAGGATCAGAGCTTGAATACCAGCTCTAGGCAGAGGAACCTCCATCGTCTCCTAGATGAACTATATCACGAATTTTCGATGCAAGTATGATAATAAGGCTGCTGAAAAGAGATTTGATTGAATGATGAATATTGCTCTAAATAAGTCTTGATAAGGCCTGATATTTACACAGACTGGGGGACTACTAAATATTTAAGATGAAAGCCTCGATATGTATCTACTTCTTTGTTGCTGGATGTGGATCAGATGAAAGACAAGTGGATCAAAGCGCTCTGGAAGCCGGGGCATCAGTTACATAATCACAGAGATGCCGAGGTCCTCGCGGGCCGCATTCTTGTTATATCAAGCATAAACACATCTATTGTAGAATCACACTTGAATCAAATCCGACCTCCCTATCAGAAAATATAATAAAGAAATGGCCACCCCGGAGTCCGAAGCCAAGAAGCACCGTAAGCGCAGCGACTATGGCTTCCATCAAGTACACCAGACCCGATGGTCAGTACCGCGCGAGCACCCGCGAAGCAACCAGACACCGAGACCAACACTAACACCCACAGGTTCGACAACGACATGTACGCGCACCTCAACAACGCAGTATACACACATCTCTTCGACACAATCGCGAACACGTACCTAATCCAGCACTGCGGGATGGACCCCTTCAGTGTAAACAACCCAACCCCGGCGCCGACTCACGGGCAGCCCTCCAATTTTCCCTCCCCATCGAACCTAGCGACCGGCGCCGATCAAATAGGTCTGATTGTCTCTACACACGCCGATTTCTTCGCCTCCGTGCGCTTCCCGGATCTGCTGGAGGTCGGGTTGCGTGTTAATAGGCTTAGTAAGTCTAGCGTTACGTGGGAAGTTGGTATTTTCCGTGAGGGCGAGGAGGATGTTAAGATGGTTGGGACTTATACGCACGTTTTTGTGTTGAGGGAGACTATGAGAGTTGGGAAGACGGGGATGGAGGAGCGGACAAGACTGGGCTTGGAGAAGTTGCTTGTTAGGGCTGAGGCCAAGCTGTGAGGGATAGAATGCTGGGCTCTAGGCTAGGCTTCCCGGGTTGTACATACATAGTTTTTTTTATCGGAATATAGGTAACCCCTTGCATTCCAAGGCAGTCAGATAATTCTGGGTTTGTTGAGAGGAACTGGGATTCTAGACTCTAGATCGATCAAATGATCCCTATAAGGACTCGAGAGAGAATAAGCGAGATATGTGTAGCTCGGCAAGAAACCCTGTCTCGATTGGTATTGATCATCCATAGGAATGTGAGATGCCGTGAAGAAACGATAAAAACGTGCGCCGTGTAGATCAAGAAGATCACCCAAACCCCTGAATCATTAAAAAGTCTAATCTAACCTGAGATCTATGAGACAAAAAGAAACCCGAAAACATATCCATCACCGTGACATAAAACCAAAACCAAGAACTTTTGTGGGTTATCATAAGAATAAAAGAGACACGCTAAATCGCTTTGGAATATCGAAAAGCGCCAACAGAAGGGGTATACATGTATGATGGAATTTCCAATCATTAAAAGGGTTGTCATGTGACAACCTCAAGGGTGTTGTTGAGGCAAGCTCAGTCAAATTTGCCAGCAATGATACTGCTGCAACGGGACACGTTGGAACTGGTAGGAGGCGAGGCACCGCGGCGCATGGTGTATCCATCTTCATCGAGCCACCACTTGGGGTAAGGGCCAAGAATGAAGCTTCCCTCAGCATCCCAGCCAGCGACCCAGTGAATGCC